AAGAAGAAGAAGAAGAAGAAACGGAAAATGATAGCAGCAGTTCAGAAAATGAGATAGGTAAATAAACTGCATGTATATGTTGTGTCTTCTGTTTCTTTTCTTTTAAAGCACCGCTCAAAGGGTAGACCTTCTATGGAGCTTAAATATTGAGGTGGACCTTAACTTTATTTGCTGTTGGTGCTTAAGGGCAAATCTGATTCTTTTTTATGTTGATGGCTTCTTGCTTTTTTTGTTACTTTTGAGGGAAAGGGGGGTGGTTACCTGTTTTATTGCAAGCATAATACTTTTATACGCACTGCATTTCACGCAATTTGTAAAACTACTCCACACTGAACTTTTTTTCAATTTTTCCAGAATTTCTATTTTTTCCGGAAAAAAACGGTTGTTTTCTCATGGCTTCAAAATTTCCGGAAATTTTACATCTCTAAGCAGAAGCAGGGTGATCCAGTGATGCAGCCAAGACCTACTTCAAAGGCGTTCTCTGCACAATTCCCGCGCTGATAAAAAACGCTGAATTCACCATTAAGTTTTGATTGTAGGCCGGCCAGAGGCACGTTTCATGGGATGGGCAATCATATAAATATGATACATAACTAAATCCCTGGGGAATTCTAGCAGTTGAAGTCCACACATCTGGAATTTGCAGTCAGAAACACTGAACTACTGTATTGTTGCAAATACACCTGATGAGCATATCCAGCGTGGCAGCATGCACATCGAATAACATAAAATAAATCCATGAACACCCCAGGAGTCCAGCTGGATTCAACAAAGCTTTTTTTATTTGTGCTCCGTTGTGAAAATCCTGCTGCAAACCGTTTGACCGCCGCTGAGTGCCCCGCTTAAAATCTGCAATAGCTCTCTGGAGACGCTGGGCGGCGCTGGCGCCACCGACTCGACTTTCTAGCCTTCGCAGGGAAATTACTCTCCTGCTTTTTCCCATCGTCCCGTGCGCCGCTTCCCTTTGCCTCTCTCTTCCTCTGCCGCCGTTGTGGTAGCCGGTGGCCGCGTTGGACGATGGTGAGTCCATCCGTTGCAATCCTCTCGCGGGGGGTTCCCTGGGAGCCCCCTTCCCCGGGCCTGTTCTTCCTGGGGCCGCCTGCGAATGACCCCGAGCTGAATTTCGAAAAATGGGAAGCGTTGATGAAGAATCAGGGGCGCCCTGCTGGGGCCTTCACGGCCCACCCGCCGGCCGCTTGAATGGGGAGCCGTTTGTAGGCCTGGCCTTACCATAGAGCTGCCGTTGGTGGAAGCGGCCGACGCGGGCCGGCCTCATCCTGCGGGCTATTCTGCAGCGGTCTGCGGGACGCGCTTGCGTCGCAAAGCCCATTCAAGGGAGGGACTGGATGGGATTTAGCAAGTCCGAGAAAAGGGTGGCTGGACTGAGCCAGTTTGGTGTCGTGGGGAAGGGGCTGGCCCAGAAAGCAGGCGGCGGTGAGTTCTGGGCCTCCCTTAGGCACGAAAGCCGGCTGGGGGACTTTGGGCCAGTCTCCCTCTCAGCCCAATCCACCTCACAGGGTTGTTGTGGTGGGGAAAATAGGAGGAGGAAGGAGTATTAGCTATGTTCGCCACCTTGAGCTAAGGGCAGGATGAAAATCACCATCATCATCAACAACCTCTTACAAGAGTGTTGAATCCTTTTGGATCTCTGCCTGCAGCCTGTTCAAGGGACCTCAGGAGGCTGAAATCCATAGGGAAGGCGGGATGGCTTGGCGTTTTAATACGGCTTCGGAATGCAGCGGTGTTTCCCCTAAGGCATGTTTGTGTAACACATTTCGGTGCCCTTTCCCGTGTAATGAAGTTAAAAGCAACGTACAGTAAAAAGTTTCAAGTTCAGTGCCATGCAGTAATGCTGGAATTTTAAAAGACTAAGTAACCAGTAAGTAAACGGAAATTTGAAATGTAAAATTGGTAAGAGTGAGTGAGTGAGTGAGTTGGAAATTTGAAATATAAACTTGGTAAGTCGGGGTTTGTTGGTTGGTTTGTGGGTTGGCTTATGTATTTAAAAGATTTGTGTGGCTGCCTACCTTAAAACACAACTCTGGGCAGCTCACAACAGTAAAACCTGAACTATAAAAACCAGGGCTGGGGGAGAAACCAGCTTGTGCAGTGGGTTTTCCCCCCATTTCGTTTACTTTCCCTTTTTAGCCTGGGAATCTACTGAAGGTTTCCATATAGTGCTTGAAGCCACCCTTGCTGCTCCCTGCTGTGCATAATCAGCCACCTAGCCATAGGTTAGATGGGCTGGATCTCAATATGTTTTGCTCTGAGTTGGGCCTCTGATTCACAGAATCGTGAGGGATCTTGGGGACAATCTAGTCTGCTCCCCTGCCTAGCGCAGGAATCCCCTAATTTTGCGTCCCCGATAGATGGCTACTCCCACAAAAGAGATCCCACCATCTCCCAAGCCATTGTTGAACATGATTCCAACATTGTTGGAAGCCCCCGGATGACATTTTTGAATGCTTAACCTGACCACCACCTAAACTGTTTCCAACGTTCCTTCTCTTCCCCACTTTGCAGTCGTCCCACAAGACGTTCAAGATCAAGCGGTTCCTCGCTAAGAAGCAGAAGCAGAACCGCCCCATTCCGCAATGGATTCGCATGAAAACTGGCAATAAGATCAGGTGAAACTCTCTCCAGAGGGGACTTCAGATGCCTTTGATGGTTCCCTGCCCTCTGTCAGACCACAGTTGTGATTTCATTGGGATTATTATATTTTGGGAAAAAACTAGACCCAAGTTCAGTTATATTCTTCCTTTAAATCGGGTCCCCAAACTCTTCAGCTCATCAACCCCTTCATGAAGTTTCAGATTGTTCAATAATCCCCCCAAACATTCATTCTATGCAAATTTAATAGATACTACTTTAATAGTGCTAATAATAACAACAGCAACAACTCATTGACCACTTTGGGGAACCCTGTTTAAAATGCATATGGACTCAACGCAGAATCCAGATCCAGTCTTCTGAACTCATGGATTCCTTTCCTCTGTAATAGATGAATCACTTATTTCCCCTCAATTATTCTTCCCTTGGACCAGATGTTTTTCAGATGGTCCAAGTTTCTGGGTTTGTATGATGCTGGCAAGAGAACTGTCTTTCACTGAATTTCTAGATCATGTTTGTGGTTGACTTACTGCACGTGAGCTTCCTAGGATCGAAAGACTTTTCTAACTGATCCTATTTTTTTCCCCATAAAAAGAATCCATTTCATCATTTGTTTTTTGCCACACACTTTTCATGCTTCTGCTTGTCACATATACCTGCCTCAGTGTGGAAAACACTTTTGACATTTGCATTCCTGTCCACTAATGAACATTTTGTTTCTCTCTGGCACTGGAACTTTGAGGTCTGCTCCCGTGTCAGATTAGCAAAGACGATTTTCCAAAGGAAAGGATTTTCTGAAGCAGGTTGCAATTGCAGGGTTTCCTTATGTGGAAACACTGCCATGTCCCTGCTAAGAGCAATTCTGTTACATGGGATTTGATTTCTCCTCCATCTTGGTGAAATTAGTCTCCTTTTAACAGTGACAAGTATTATGGGGAAAACACAAGATAGATTTTAGCTGCTCCATCCTTTGAGAGGAAACTAAAATGTAACTTGTGGAATATCTAAGGAATACAGATGAAACTCGAAAAATTAGAATATCGTGCAAATGTTCATTTATATCAGTAAGGCAACTCAAAAGATGAAACCAATATATGAGATAGACGCATTACATGCAAAGCAAGATATGTCAAGCCTTACTTT